GTCTTATTTAGTAAAACAACAGTACATCAACATTTATCACTCGTCACAGATAGAAATTTCTGGCTCGTGCAGTGTCATTGGCCGATTGTTGTTCGTTAGCACATCATGAAACACATGGGAGAGTTCTGTGGGTGATACGCACCGGGAGACAGCAAAGGAAATGTGTGGGACAGACTCGTAGTAGGAAATGGGTGGTTGAGATCGAGTTCGGGATGTGAAAAGAACACCGTGAGAAGGACAGCAGTAGGAGATCTTCATTCCTGGTTGCTCTTGAAGTGCGTCGACAAGCTCTGCGAGTTCGTCCATCTGAAAACGACACAACCATTGGTTCACGCATACTGTAGAAAGTAGTCCACCGCGGTCGCAGCGACCTTGGAACCATGTGATGGTCATAAACTGTATAGAAACAAGCCGTATAGGGTATGATTGAAACGTGTCGTCCAGCTGTTCATGGCAGCTATCAATCTCTACCCAGACATTTCAAGGAAACCATCAAACAGCACAGCCGTACAAAGTATGGTCCATCGTTGATATTTTCCCCTTGATGTAGCGATAAAACCAACTGTACGTAGGGCAAATTCCGGGTGTAGTCTGGCTATCTTATGTCCTTAGAGCTTATTTTGGCTTGATTGAAAGTGTTCTGCAGGAGGCTTCGCTCCTTTTGCAAGGAGCTTGTAGGATTGTTTGCTAGGCGGAATTCAGTCCAGAAACAAGTATTACATTGCTCATGTAGCAGTTTTCCTTCTGGCATCTGAAATGAACGTCGATATCGTCGACTCTTATGAATTTATGGATTTTCCAAAGTTGATTCTATATCCGTTCACGAAACAAGTGTAAGGAAAGAAATGATTCACTATCACAGAATGTTCAAGATGCAAGTGATAACTTTATCAGAAACACACCTTTTCGCAGCTGAGTTCAAGTGTGATCTCCATGTCATTGGTGGCTAGATAGTTGAAATCCTGCATTACCTCCCGAGACAGAGTACCACTGGGCACCGTTTGTGATTCCTCCTGAAGTTCAATAGATCTCTGCGCTGCTCACAACTTCAGCGTTCACGGTTCATTTAGCTTTGCTACGTCATCTGAAGAGATGGGTTCGCACAGGGGTTTGGGTCGTTATCGTTATCACAAGACCGGCCTGGGGAGGTAACAACACTTGAATGGATAAAAGTTGTCCTCCAGGATTCACAGCCCTTTTAAGTGGCCAATCGTACATATGCTTTCACTATGAATATCGGGTTCATCGTTGCATGCAAAACGGGTTCAAACAACTATTCACCGTTCCACATTATCTGTTACCTTTGCATGTTTTTCAAGTGCTATTAACTGTATTCGACTTCCTCCTTGGCAGGTCAACCTTGCTACCCAATCCAAAAATGGTAAAAAAAAATTATGCTATGTCACAGAAGGGCTCCAAATTTGAAGGCATTTTCTGAATAGAGGCTGAGGGAATTCGTGGTAACTATAAGGGTAATGTCTGCGAGAGGGCGTTCGACCTAATGTAATATTCATGTGCAGAAGCCACAGATGGTAACCGGTAAGAAAAAGTGTAACAGCTCTCACCTTGTCTGGCGAACGCGTCCTTGCTGGTGCCATCGCATGGTGGATGATCGTTCTTGCCCATGTGAGCGTGATTCTTGGCGTAAGTCTGGGCGAGCCATCTGCAAAAAAGTGTGCCTTTTCAGCAGTGAATGCACTCTTAATAACGATACTGAATACTGACTGTGAAAAAAAAATAATTTTCGAAGTCGATTCGAGAACAAGAACGATTTCAAAAAAATAACAACAAAGAATCAGCGGTAAGTGCGAGAAAGAAATAGCCGTGGCTTACTGGCTCTACCGTATGCAGCCAACGCGAGCTAATAGCTCCTTAGAGACCGATTGTTTCCGTATTATGGCAGCCTTGATTGACGAACAATTACTCTCAGCGTGCCCTTTTTGCAATCGTCGAGGCGTAGCGCAATCTTTTCTTTCCCAGGCAATTTTTGAAAAAAAAAACAGCCACGTTAGGGATTTGTAGCAACGGAAGGAAGATCGACCTTTTTTGATGCCCAGGGAGGTGGATTTGGCTGAAAATACATTCGCTTATTCTACGATCAGTTGTATTCGAATCCGCAATAACGAGACAGCGAGCGGGTGCGCTGCAAAATTAACGAAGCAACAGAGTACAAATCCTTCTGCATCTTTGTGGGATCTGCCTTGTTGCTGCTGCAGTGGGACCGCACACGCAGGTCTTATATGTCGTGTACAACAGACTTTTAACGATATACTACGGCTCAAGTGCAACTAACCTGAATGTGCCGTCATCTGGAGATGCTGAGTATTCGCTGACACCGTTCTTGATGGTGGCATCGAATGGATAATTAGCGACCAGATCGCCTTCGTGAAGGATTTCGCGACAGAACCAAATGCAGCACAGACTCCATCGGCCGATCAAGCTACTGTTTCGGGTTTGGCGCTGAAATGCTGAAAGTAGTCACATAGGCAGCTGCATCAATAATGAACGATTTACCCAGCTTCTTCCGAGTTTTTTAATGTTTAGTAGCAAGATAAACGACTCAAGGCAGATGGAAATACGATGGCTGAAGTGCGGAGAGATTTCGCTGACGCCATAAAGCGTGATTGGTAGAAGCACTGGGCCCTCAGCACGCTGAAGGGCCTGATCGACCTATGATGTCTAATGACGTCATCCAAACCGCTCCAACCCTCCAACTATCGTGTTCACTCCCTTTAACTTGGCCTGGTTAGTCAACTATTCCATGTTGAAAAAGTTGAGAATGTGATCATTCAAGTGGCTTATTCAACAAGCTCATTCAATTACTTAAGTAGTTTGTAAAGAAGCCTGGCTAAATGAATTGCAGAAATGAAGAGCGGTATAAAACCGAGTGAGTTGACCAAGGAGAAATCATTCAGTTACTGGTCATCCAAAAGGCGCCACCTCCTTAATCTGCATCCGAACAACTCCTATCAACATATCGTATTCGTGGTACCTTCATCTTCTCCAGCTCGTAGAAGATACTGTCAAGATCAGGGAAGTCTCTGAAAAGGCTCTTGATAAGCTGATAGTACAAGAACAAAACTGCAAAAAAATGGATGACGCAAGAAGAAAATTATAGATGTTTGCTGAAAATCCGATGCAAGTATTTTTCCACTGCTTTTAGTAGCTTTGAGCAATTTAGTCAGCACCATAAACAAGGCTTGGGTTGCTACAAAGCTCCTCGCTAGCTCTTTACACTTGTAATATAGGCAGGGCTGATGATCTAGAATGGACAAGAGTCTTCTTAACTATGCTTCAGGAAAAGCAAAGGTGGACTCGCCATGAACCGGATCTCATGACCTTTTGCCCTTCGGCGTGGGCCGCTGGCACTGCACTACTCACTTCATAAATACGTTCAGAGATCCATTTCACAGATATGGAGGACAGATTCGATATCAGCGTTCACAACACATCTAGTAATATATGTTTTGTTACATGTGGCCACCGTCGACCTGAAACGCCTTCCGTTTGTTGTGAAATGTGGGGCCACGTATTCTACCTTTCAAGTTTGTCCTGCCCTCCAACTGATCGAAGTGGAAGATTCGGTAGGAGTAAATTGAGCTGGGCGCCATTCTTGCCTCACGGGTGTTCAAACTTTTGACTGCGCCTGTTGCTATGGCATATACAGGGGTGGCCAAAAAAAAAGAGACACTCAGCCCATGGCGCACATCATCGAACTTTTCGTCACACAGGGAGCCGATGTTAATGAAAGTTTTATGGCGTTATATTCCTTAGTTGTTCCTCCGTAAACAGAAGCAAGCACTCCTTCACTGCCCCTGCCGTCTCCAGAATATGACGTCATCTGCCGTCACCGTCGAGCTCAACGAGGCTTACCGAAATCGCTCCGACCTGAAGCTGCTACACAATTTCCTCAGTGAATTAATTGTTGAATAGCTTCCCAGAGACATTAGCTGTGACTGTGCAAAACCGCTTTTGACCAGCGTTTCAGAGACGTCGTAATCGTCTATGGTATCTCGACGACCTCGTTGAGCTCGTACCGTGCACAATGCTTCCGTGGGAAAATCTTCTGATGTCGTCGGTAGAAGGCTATTGAAGTATTTTGACTTGTTTTGTTTGTTAACTGCTGTTTTAACGCCGCAGTTCGCGTTGCGAATGTTTCACAAGAATGCTGGGTTGTGAACAAAACTTTCGCCCCAGGCGGGACTAGAACCCGCACCTCTCGCTTTGGAGGTGCGGGTTCTAGTCCCGCCTGGGGCGGAAGTTTGTTCACAACCCAGCATTATACGAAGCTATGTAGCTTGTTGATAGATTATAACGTGCTCTTCAATATTCAGTTGGGGTCATTTGGTTTGGTTTCGCGACGCGTAAATAATTCCGTTTTGAATGTTGAGTGAAGTGTCTCTTTTTTTTGGCCACCCCTGTATATATGGGCGAGTTGCCAGCCAATTCAACTCCTCCTCAGTTATTCAGAATTAAAGTGACTTTTCTCCGCTTAGATTTGCTTTGATTTGGAATTGAACATATTCCAAGAAAGTCTCCTGCAAAATAGAGCTGCACAGCTGCAGCTTCCTTCACATGCGCCCACTGAGGTGTAGGAAATGCCGTGTAATTCACAAGAGATCTGTCAAGCGAAATATCCTATTTAGTTCCCACCTGTTGAGGTCGACACCGTTGGCATTCGTTCTTCCTGTTAGCCACTCGCGTTCTGATGGTTCCTGGAATTCAACAATCAATTTTTGCGTCTAACTCGATGAATAGCCTTTAAGATACATTATTATATGACCAGATTAGTCCCCCGTCAACCGCCGGGACCTTCCTTTCCTGCGCAAGCTTTCTATCCTCCGCTATGGTCCCTTCCTCCTGTGACACCAACACCTGGAAGTGACGCGTATGCAACACAATGGTGTTTCATACAGTAGAAGGGACACAATCATGATATGACGGTAGATTTTTCGCTTCCCTCCTCATCCTCCCTTCCTCTCTCCACTGCCCTCCAGCTGCCACTGCAGCACCATGTGGAATGAACGGAAGTGTGCTAAGCAGGTGTTTATATAGCCCTAAGAGTGTTATCACAACTATCCTGCTACAAAACATTGATATCTCAAATCCTGTAAGCTACCCGATTGTTAGCGGTTTGTTTATCCCATGAGCTTCCTTCTCACTCACTTCATTTTGCGGACGGACACACATACATACATACACACGCACACACACACACGCACACACACATACAGATACACAAACCGACACACAAAGTTAGCGCTTTATATAATAGAAGGATTACCAGTTTTGCTTCGCCCGCTATCGCGCGCATCACACGGCAGGCTTTAGCGAAATTGGAGGACCCATGGAATATCAGCATGAGATACTCCATTAACCATCTCACTATTGACTGTGTTAGACCCTCCACAGTTTCACTGAAGCTCATCGAGAATACGCGTGATAACGTCTGAGCTGAACTGGTATATTGATCACAACTCTGTAAACATCCAGCATTTTCTTGAACTAAGATAATTATATATCGAAATAATGTGCACGTACCTTTGTTTGTACTACTACGACTTACTACAATTTGTAAGTAGGAACGCTCTAGTGTCAACGCTGCGTAACGGAATTGACGACTTTTGCGTTCTGCGCGCCTTATCGGCCCTTATCAATCGTTATCAGTTTCTGGCACCCACCAACAATGTCCCCGTCCCACCCCACATAACACTTGTAAGTATGGTTGCTCTGGTGTCAACGCGAGCCAGGCAACGGAATCGACGACTTCAGCGTTCTGGCGCGCCTTATCGGCCCTTATCAATCGTTATCAGTTTCTGGCACCCACCAACAATGTCCCCGTCCCACCCCACATAACACTTGTAAGTATGGTTGCTCTGGTGTCAACGCGAGCCAGGCAACGGAATCGACGACTTCAGCGTTCTGGCGCGCCTTATCGGCCCTTATCAATCGTTATCAGTTTCTGGCACCCACCAACAATGTCCCCGTCCCACCCCACATAACACTTGTAAGTATGGTTGCTCTGGTGTCAAGGCGAGCCAGGCAACGGAATCGACGACTTCAGCGTTCTGGCGCGCCTTATCGGCCCTTATCAATCGTTATCAGTTTCTGGCACCCACCAACAATGTCCCCGTCCCACCCCACATAACACTTGTAAGTATGGTTGCTCTGGTGTCAACGCGAGCCAGGCAACGGAATCGACGACTTCAGCGTTCTGGCGCGCCTTATCGGCCCTTATCAATCGTTATCAGTTTCTGGCACCCACCAACAATGTCCCCGTCCCACCCCACATAACACTTGTAAGTATGGTTGCTCTGGTGTCAACGCGAGCCAGGCAACGGAATCGACGACTTTGCGTTCTAGCGCATCTTATCAGCCATTATCAGTTGCTATCGCTTCCAATCATGTACCACCAATGTCCCGGGACCGCCCCACATAAACACTTGTAAGTATAGACGCTCTTTACCAATATGAACGGCAAAACGAAATTGGCGATGCTCGCTTTCTAGCCCCTCTTATCAGCTATTATCAGTCGTTATCAGTTCCTATCACGTACCACTTGTGTCCCCATCCCACCCCCTATAACATATGTAAGAACCACTGCGCTATCGTTACTGTGACTCGAGCTATGAATTTCCGTCAAACATACACACACACACACACACCAACACACGCTAGCCGCTTATATATAGTAGGATTACTAACAAGGAAGGTCTTTCAGGACATGGAGCGCTTTTTTCGAAACGGTTTTCTGCATTGTAGGGGCTCATGCGAGGAACACAGAACCATGATCCATTTTTCCTGAACGCCTCCAGGAATGTCAAAACAGTGGTGAAGAAATGGTCCAGAGTTCGATCCCCGGTGATGACTAATTTTTGCAATACAGTTTGGCGCCCCCCAGATTGCCCAAATGGCGCCATCGTCAAGAATAGATATCAGTGTCCGAATGCGGCAATTTGAAGGTGCCGACATAAATTGCAAAAGTTTGTCATCACGGAGAATCGAACTTTGGACCACATTTCTTCCCCGCTGCTCTGACATTCCTTGAGAGCGTTCAGGAAAAATTGACCATGGTTCTGTGTTCCTCACATGAGCCTCTACAACATTCAGAAAACCAAAAGCGCATTCTCAATAGACGCTCCACGCATTCCTTGACACAGGGCCGCACCTTCCTTGTAAGGCCAACTGATCTGAACAACTGGGATAAAAGGGAAAAATCTGTGGGTTGAGTTCTTCCGGACCTCCTTGTTCCTCTTTTGTGCTTCCTCTTTTGTTCATTTCCCTTGTACTTATCTTCGATCGCATAACACGATTTCGATCCAAAGACCATGATAAGAACTCCGTGCACTTCCTCACAAAACCTTCTTTGGATATCCCTCCGGACGCTACGCCAGAACGCTGACGTCCAACACTAGTTAGTTCTACTGTGCAACTCCCAACGGCCCGACATAGCGCTTGATTCGATGCCATTTTTAGAAATGTGCGGAGTATTGGGTCAAATGTTCGACCTCGTGTATGTAGAACTTGAACCCTTAGCACTTGTGCTTTCTAGGTAACGTGGATCCAATGCACCTCTACCGGGTGAAGTCCAAGTGGCATATCAACCCTCATTGCATGATTGACCGGGGCACTGAAGTAGTGTTCGGTAGAATTATGCGTATACATGTATCCCTGGGAAGAATAAATGCTAATTTGGAGCCCTGTCCAGCATCTTCGAGCATTGGGGTCTCCGGGGCATCCTGAAATACGTGGAACGTTCCCTACCGTGGAACCTTTCACTACTCACGATTATAAGTTGAGCCCTCGTTCGGAAACAGTATATTACACCTTTACTTAGAGTTCCGCGGCAGATGCTCAGTCTGACGCTCATGGTATACGGTCTGCCTCAATGTCAATGTTGATGAATATTTGAACGTCGAAGAAAATCAATCGAAAAGCCCTGAGCAAAAATTCGAATGCTGTATTTTCCCGCAGAATCTCTTCAGGGTACTCTCTGAAGCGTTCCAAGACGTTTTCATCGATCCTCTTTCCCACGACTGAAAACTGCTTTTGCCGGCTGAGAGCTCGCCTGATTAGCTATTGACGTCATTGGTCGTCTTAGTGTCTGCGGCTTCCTTTCGAAAAAGCTGCGAGAAATGTCAGATGTCGGGTGAAATCGGAGTTTTTACTTACCGTATTGAGGGCACGTTCGAAACCATCAGGGTTCATCGAAGGCAAGATGTGAATTGAGGTGGAGTTAAGTAGTTGCAGAACTTCCTGAAAGAAATGTATCAAACAGATTTCGAGATCAATATTTACAATCAGTATTGACGATACTTGTACTAAATAATGCTTTGTGAAAAATATGCACTTGTAAACTAATA